GGTTCTAGTATTATGAAAATGAGAGAAAAACATATCCATCTATTTCCCCCCACAAAGCACATAATTTTATACAGTTCTATCATGGCGTATAAATGTTTCTTGCCTTTCTTCAAAAGTGAAACTCATAGGGGGGTTTCCAACCTAGCCCGTATGATAATTTTGATTTCCCTTCTCTGCACTTTTCACAGCTCTACAATAGCATTTTTGATGTTGCACAACCAGAACTACACACAATATGCCAAGTGTGGTCACACCATAGATTTCTGTTAAGTCACAATATTACAGACTTGTAGAATGTCACAATGGGCATAATGGCACTGGCAGTTTTATTTTCAATCCCTTTTCTAATGGTTCATAATCCTTTTGGATTTCAGGTATCCACATGCAAATTACATCCTTCCCAAATAAAAAGAAACCCCCAACCATAATTATTTTCTGTATGCAGCGTTTTAGATGGAACATGCATTACAAATGCTTCCTGCTGCTTTGTATTATTGGATGGATAAAACTATTAAGACACACACTCACAATTCAAGTATGTCAGCATCATCAGACAGAGAGGATGGGGCACAGAAGAAAATGGAAAGAAAAAGAAATTCACTTCACTAAAGGTGAAGATATGCTTTACATAACCATCAAATGTAAATGAGCTATCAAGCTTTCTGGCATCTGGTCATTCAGTTTTCATTCTGCACAATTATGGACAAATAAATGGGATTGGTTGATTTCCATTAATGCTCCCCTAATTTATGTACATTCCTGGAGGTAAAATTCCATTCTGACCCAACACTCATAACAACTCAGATCATTTTTTAAGCTACAACAACATTAAATAGGAGTTTAATTCCATCACCGATCGCTCCTAGGGATTTAATATTTCTTAATAAATTAGACAAGCATTCTCAACTCATCAGTATTCAGATCTTAGAAGTAGAATGTGCATAATTTAGCAGTTGGTTTTTTAGGTTATAGAGTAACTTTCTTTTCTTTTCTTACTCTTGCATACTCTCTCACACACATGAATGGAGGAATGTGTTATCATCCCTTTAAAAAAAGAAAAAAGAAGAATGAGTCAACTCAAGAGAAGACACCTGTTTTTCTTAAGTCTCAAATGCCCACGAGTATATTTGCCAGGAAAGGAGCTACTTGTAATGATTTTTTACTCCATCTTTTCCTGATACCTATAAGATGACATCTTAAAATAAGAGGAATTGATGGTAATACACAAAACAGACTGCACTGCCACAGCTGAAGAGCACTCTTCCTCCCCAAGGAACTGGATGATTAATGGGGCTGTGGTGGTGATGGGGGGGGGAATTAGAGGGACTTTCTCTTACATGAAGAATAATATTCAAACTAAGCAGTCACCTTGTACAACATGCTCCTTGCTTTCCAATGTTTATGCCAGTTTGTGTTGCGCAATCCTACTGAGTTCTCTTGCCAGAGAATGATTGGTTCTTTAACGTTATACCATTTAAGTAAAAATGCTTGGTTCTGGCTGGCAGATTAATTTGCTCACAAACTCATTTGGCTATCAACAATGTCACACTACATCTACATGACTTGGAAAACTGAAGAACCATGACTACTACAAAAATCTGAAAACAGGACATTAGTATTTATCATACTAAAATGGGTGACTCAAAAGTTGTTCTGTACCATCAGGAAAGTTTAAAATTTTAATTCATGTAGCCCAAGATTCCCTTGACAACCAAACATGTCTGAAAAAAAGACATTTGCTCACTTCAAAAAGGAGGGAATACAATATCCCAGTTTATAAAATATCTATGTTCCTAAACATCTGAGATAATTGTACTGATATTGAAGAAAACTAAGTACCATTGAAAACAGTGAGATATACTTCTGCAGAAATATGCATAGAATCAGTCTACTAATGTGTATTTAGCAATACTCTCCCTGTCTCAATTTCTTTGATAATGAGCATACATTTTATTGAAAGCAGCATTGCCAATTTCACAGGCGCCTCTTGTTTCCTAGCTCTGAGGAACGGGAGGGAATGTATTTGGATAGTACTGGAAAGAGAAAATGCTACAGCAAGTGTACAACTGTGCAAGGTGAAGAGAAGGTGATACTAGGAATATCTGTCAGTCAAAAACGATCTTTTGAGGCTTCTATTCATCTTAACAGACAGAATATACTTCCCTACTGCCGATAAGACTAGAGGGTTACTAGGGCTAGATATTTTTCTTCTCCTGTTCCAGCTGTCTTCACCTTGAAATGTAAACTTTCCAAGTGATGCAGACAAATATTTAAATGCTGCTATCCAGTGATCTCACTAGGAAAGGAGAGATCAGCATTTATTTACCCCATAAAAGGATTATTTTGTTTTTAAGTCATAGAACTTCTTACTGATACCAGCAGCTCTGAAGTGTACTTCCTCTGCACAAATAGAGAAATCAAAGTGCCTTAGTCTTTGTTTTGCTTTTTGACAGCATTGACAGCAAAATGATTTCCATTGGCAGTGCTTGTTTTCAGTATGTGCGTGTGGGCACATAGGATTCATGTGCAATAGCATCTTTCACCTGTGGAATTATTCTTCCAAAGTCTATTTACGCTGCAGTCTCTCTTGATAAATGCAAGCTTTCTCCGTCAGCATATTTGCTCGGCAAAGCTTAGCATCTGTAGTTGCCAGCTTCTGAGTGTAAAGTGCCTTGAGAGACTGCATGAAAGGCACCAAATACATGCAAATTGTTGTGGGTAGTTCCTTGACAGCAGTGTCTCTGCAACTATCACTTCCATTTTCTCTAATGCTCAGAGAAAGCAGTGTCTGGGGCTAAGGGGATTGATTCCATAAAAACAGTTTAAAATATAAAGTATTTGATTACGTGAGCAGATGCACCAAAATAAATCCTTCTGCCTCTCGCAAATTGTCTGGAAACTCTGTGGATGGGAAAGAACTCTTCTTTAAGGAATTTACTCTGGGAATCAATACCTGTGTTGTACTCAGGACTGGCGCCACCCTCGGGAAGAATAAGGCCACAGATGCTGGGCATATGGTGGGTGGCAGACCCTCCCTGTCATTCCTCATGAGCCACCCAGCCAATCCTTTCTCTCAGAGGACAGAGCTGTGCGAACCACGCAGCCTGGTTTGTGCACATTAAGATAGCTTGTGGCCCTCAGGTGTTGTGAAAGCTACCATTTTAGTACCAGGATGTCTCTCTGACACGGGTCAGAGAGGAGAGAGTCAGCAGCAATCTTGCCACACACTCTCCTCAGCTGGGCTGCAGCGCACATGGAGGCAGCTTTCTTGTGCCCGGCCACAGCTCCACCCCCAAGTCAGGCCTATCTCAGGGGTGCAGCAGGCTCCCTCCCACCTGCCCCTGTGCACAGGAGCATACGCTCTGCTGCTCCTGTTTTGCACTCTCTTTGTGGGTATTTTTTTGGGGGGGGGCGGGTTGCCTGGATGTAACGTCTTCTTGAATACTGATAATGCTTCTTGCTTGCTTGGATGAAGGACAGAGAAGTGTGTGCGCATATGAAGAAGAAACTATAGACTACTGTATGAAGGTAAAATTCACGTGTTTTCTCCTGGCCCTGCCCATCACTGGTATGTGGCCCCCTGAAGGCTGCCAGAAGAGAGTGTGGCCCTTGGGCTCAAAATGATTCCCCATCCCTACTAGACTGCACACTCTTGAAAGGCTTATAAAAGACCAGTAGACTAATTAATATGCCCAACTTACTGATACTTCTACATTTCCTGTGCATATTGCGTTGCACTTCATTCTAGGGCCATTTGAGTTTTGGTACTTTGATATTTTCAATAAGCAATGCTATTTGCTTAGAATCAGTAAACCTTTGCAAATCTGACCACTGTCTCCGATATCACTGATTTGCTGTTTTAATTCATGCCATATCCGAATCTTCAGAACCAAGGAGCTGATATTTATTACAAATAGATCCACACTGCAGTGGGGAAGATGTGAGGGATAAAAGATGGGAGATTATAGGTGAAGGGGATGGACCAGAACAGGTCTAACAAGACACACTCAAAGCTGATGAGGAACACAACAGAAGTGGGAGGGTTCTGAGGGAACCTTGGATATCACTGATTACATATTTACTCAAATTCCATTAAATGTGATACAGAATTCTACATTGAGAAAATGGAGAAATTCCTATACAGCTACTGACAATCCAGAGAGAAACAAGCATGGAGTACCAGATCCCTGCCTTAGTGATTGCCAGAACAACAGGAACATAGGAAGCTGACTGAGACTGAGAATATTAGTACATCCCTCTTGAGTTTAAGACAGGCGTCCTTCCCAGCTCTTCCCAGATCCAATGCAAGGTGGATGCTACAGTCTTCCCTAATGACAATGAATGCTACTACTTGTAAATATTTCTGGAACACACTCAAACAGGGTGGAAAGGGTGAAATGGCTGCTGAGTGATACTGATGACTTCGTAACTTATAAAATAGCACTATATGCGTTGACAGCTAAGAAGATCAGGAGAAAAGAACTAGATAAAATAGCGGTCAATTGCAAAGGTGATTCAGACATTTTAGCTGGCACATTCTACCTGAGAATCCCTTGCTATTATATCATATGCAACAAATAATTTTTAGGAGATGTGATCGTGGTTTATTGTATTTGCAGTGCCTGATGTTTTTATGGTTTTAATGGTTATTGTTGCTTTTCTTTTTGTTCCCATTGTGAATGATGCCATGGCCTTTGGCTAGTACAATAAAGTTTATGATGATGATGGTGAGGGTGATGATGAGTGGGGAGGTATGTAAAAAAATATGCAAAGAAATAGGAATATACCAGCCCTGGTTTGACAGGTGGCTTTGAGCAGCATTTGATTTTTGACGTGAATCTTTGCATTATATTAAATGTCACACTGGTGCGTAATTCCTGTTTTAGATAACCTGCTTCAGTTGACTCTGTCAAGTACATTCTGCTCTCTTTGGCTGAAGACATCCCTACCCCCACCCCTTATATATGAAAGCAGAAAAATCAAGCAAAGAGCCTACTTACATGTTTTGAAAAGAATTCGTCCACCTCTCGGAGCAGCTTTTCCTGGCACTCAGGATGGGTGGCCAACAGGTAAGTGGCAAAGGAGAGGGCGCTGTTGGTGGTTTCATAGCCAGCGATCAGGAATAAGGAGGCCTGGCCAGCTATTTCATCATCACTCAACGTTTTTGGATTTTGCTTCTGAGGCCGGGCTTTGCTGGCAGATGTCTCATTTTCCTGAATGGAAACATCGGCTTGGCTGACCGTATCAAAATGTTCCACGGTGATGTCATTAGCAGAGCTTCGGGCATCAAGCATCAGCTGGAGGAAATCTCTGCGTCTCTGCAAAATGCACAGTGAAAACATTAAGTCAGGGAACAAGCATGTGGACGTACATTCACGCTAATACAGCTATATGATATCTCTTTTCTCCAAGGGGCAAGCCTTGTTTTTGGCGTTGCCTAACAATTACTCATACTGTATTGTAAAGGCTGGATGGTGTGATTCTTTTCCTTTTAGCTTCTTTTTTAAAGTAGCCCAAAACTGGGAACAAAGGATGAGTTAGGAGAGGGGCTGCTCAATTCTTCTCCTTCCTTCTTCTTGTCCTATCACATCACCCTCTCCCCAGTTCTTTCCCACCTGCTGGGACCTCGGATCTTTTCTCCCACAGGAAAAGAGAAAAGCAGCGGAGTGGGGTGGTTTTAAGCAGATACATGGAAGGAAGGGAAAGGATTAGGCAGCCCCTCTCCTCAGTGGCTCTCTACCTGATTTCAGTCTCCAGTGGCAACTGTTCCTTGAAAAAAAAGGCAGGGGAAGGAATGATGTAACAGCCTGACATGTAGCTTGGTGTTCAATGGAGTATTTGCTTTGCACTGATGACAGGGAACAATAAAGGGGGTGTTGCGGTAGATTTTTTTTTTTTTTTTGGAAGAAGAGAATAGAGCTAGGGATGTCAGTAAATTCAGATTTTGTGTAACTGCATTTAAGAGCAATCACGATCACTGCCAAATAATCACTGCATCAGTTGATTTGGGGTAGCCACTTACAATCAAATTAATTACTTGAAAATCAAATTTAATCAATCAATTTTAAACAATTTATTCCATTCGATCAACTTAACTTCATTTTTAAAAAAACCAGTCCTGATCTGAATCGCAGTAAGTGCAAAGCAGATTAGAACATGAGGAGAAAAAGCACACTGAAGGGTGCAGAAGTAACCCTGTGTTAGCTCTTTTTGCTGTGAAGCCCTAGGGCCCACAGAACTACCAACATTCATCCCAAGTCTGGAAAGGAAATCAATCCAGAAAACACTATCAGTGTTTGTTGTTGTTGTTGTTGTTGTTTTCAGTCCACAAATGATGTGGTGATTCCCCCCCTCATTCCAAATTTGCATTGTGTTTCCTTTGCGTGCTGAGGTCCCCCAAAACACCCCTACCCCAAATAACTCACACTTCACACATAATTTTTGTTTAAGGTTTTTGGCATAATTTTGGCCACAACTTTATTATCATACATAATTGTGAGTGGTTGCTTAGGCATTGGTTAAGACTATCTGTCCCCCCGCCTTGGGGACAGCACTGACTTCCGGATTCCAGCGGAAGCCAGTGTGGAGGAACAAGTTCCGGGATAACTGGAGCTGCGACACAGACCCTCAGCTTCTCCCCACATGCTCCTAGGGGCTTACGCGGCCCAAACCCGATTCCAGGGGTTTGGACGAAAGGATGGTAAGCCCCTGAATTCCTTTAACGGAATTCCCGTGCAGCAGCATCACCTGAGGGGCAGGCACAGCCAATCCATACCCCTCCACCAACCAATTTAAACCAATGCCTAACCGCCAACCTTACAAGTTGTGACGATTTGCTACGCAGTAGGCAAAAACCAAATGGCACGCACTAATCAGCCAGATGGCAAAATTCCTACCAGGCCCCCGCATCAATGCGAACGACCCCATGACAGGCATAGCAAGGTCAAAGTGGAAGCCCAAACAAGGGAGGGAGGGCGAGTGATCCGATGCCCACAGCGAAAGAGAAAGCAACTTTCTGTGGGCCTTGCTTAAATATCCTCTGATCTCCACCCCCAAATTGGCAACATACAATTTGCCCCAGCAACACCAACACCAATCCTGGCCAGGCCCCTTCCTTGGATTCTGCCTGGCAACTAAAGGGTGCTTTGCCTGGCCCCAGCCGCAACACGTGCTCTCCCTTAATGAGAACACGCTTTGTATTGAAATGAATTACCTTTGAACTAAAATGAATGGTGTGGAATAATAAATAATTATGGAACAGTGCTGCATATGACTAACACAGGTCAGAATGGAAATCAATGCCTTTTTATAGCCCTAGATAGAGCTGACTTAAGGGAACACGAAATTATAATTTTAAAAGTGACTCCTGGTTTTTTGTTTTTGTTTTACTAGGTAGGTATATTACGCATTGTGCCAATATTAGTGGATGGGACAGGACAAAAAGCAAAACCCTTGTCTCATTACAGAGGTTTTTAGCCTATGGGCAAAGACAATCCTGGGCACATTTCTCATGTAACATTGCCTAAAATGTTGGCTACAATCCAAACAGCTTGGGTATTCCTCTTGGGTGATTTTAAGATTCCTGTGCCATGTCACAAGCTACTTTTGACTGTCCTCTCGGTTTCAAAAGAAGTTTGCCATCTGGAATTTGGGGCAGGGGGCTATCTAAACCCCACTTGGGCACATGGAACTAGTTCCACAGGTCCTTTGATCCAGGTCATTGCTTCAAATATGTCACATTCCGCCTATATCCTATGCTTACTGAGAATCTGTCACCTCATATTTTCACCACCAGAGTGTAAGCGCAACACACTATTGTGCTCTCATGCTGCAGAGTTCTGAAAGCATGAAGAATAAGTCCTTGAAAATAGTGACTTTTGGCAGGGGTCTACTTAACACCACTCCATTAAAGCTGGTTTGGGCATGCTGTCTATTTTGCAATCCATTGTTAAATGCATTATGGCATTGCATTTATTTTCAGTTCCTCAACCACCAGCATAATCTGTCAGAGCAAAAAAAAAGGGGGGGTGCAGAAGCGGTTGCAGAGCTTGACTTTTGAGATGCTGCAGACTGGGGAGGAAAAGCAAGGCTGGAATGCTTTTCAAAAATAATTTAATCTGCTTTAGTTTTTTTTAAGATCAAGGGAGAGCTTTTAAATTATATTCTTGGAGCCATGATGGGAAATAAAATTGAGGGAGAGGAGCAGGCACAGGAAAAGGGCAAATGAGATAAGGGCACAAAAGGAATCATTCATTATATATGTCACAGGACTTTTATCAGATCACTGACATGGGAATGGTGAGAAACAAAGAAGCAGAAATACTTAACATACTGTGCTTTGGCTTTTGCAGTCAGCTAAGTGCTATGACCCGGTAAGAAGAAAAGGACATCCAAAAAGTGTACTGAGGTTCAACAAAACCAACTGTGGGCTTTAAATCTAAATTGTGGGGAATTAATTGGCTTGGCCATCCCCGAGCCCTGTAAAATCTTTCACCAAATGAACTACATTCTCTACAAGCGTCCTGTGTGGGTATTACATTGTGATGAAGTAAGCCAATGACATTTTACTGTATCCTGCACCGACTGGAGAATGTTCTATCACTGTAGAAGCAATATTGAGTATTACGGTACATTTCTGCAGCTGTCTCTCTTTTGTAAAAAAATAAAGAAAGAGAGGAGGTGATCAACTAATTAGATATTTTGCTTAATCTCCATTGCAGTGTACAAAACCACTACAGGTGGGGTTGTGTGGCAACTACTGTAAATGGTTTAGTTCAGAAGATATCTCAACTTTGTATCTGCCTAGGAAGCCCCTTCCCTCCTCTCTTCTCACTGTAATTAAAAATTGGGAGCCTTTAATTTACCATAGTTCCCCATAACATCTGAACCAGTAAACTGTGGCTGAAGATCCTGGCTTGTTCTGAATTGGTAGCCATAGTTTCCTGGTTTGAACAAAATGGAAAACTATGTTGGTTGAAGACTTGTGGGTTTAATTGTGGTTTGCCAAAAGGGGGGGGGGGATAGAAAGTGATGCATGTACAGACAGAAGGTTTGTTCATATCTTAGATTATGAAGGCAAGATATGATTGTCTAAATGAGCTGAATATCAAATAACTTTATAATCTGTTGACTAGAGGGCTCAGACTAACTTCTTCTTTGGTGATCATTTGCAGACGAGTAAGATTGTATTCAATGAACACAAGCATAGGACTATATGGGGTATATTTCCCATGCACACACACCCCCTTCTGTCCTAGCAAATTGTCAAAAAGTATATGGTAGCCCAAGATGCAACTCAGAGAGGTTATTCCACAGCCTGGGAGCCACCACAGAGGAGGCTCTCTCATGTACTACTGTCCTTCAAACCACGGAAGGCGGTATCACTGCCAACAAGGCCTCAATTGCTGATCTTAGCAACCAGGCAGCTAAATGTGTGAGGAGGCACTTCAGATATTAGACTTGCATCACTTGGGCATTAAAATCTGAATTATACAAATGCATATTTAGATAGCCCAGTAATCATGTAAACTCATCCTTACTAACTCAAAGACTGAAATGTCCAAACATTTTGGCTTCTCTTAAGACTGGGCTGTAAAGTGCATGTTATTAGAATACCTTTCTAAGGCTAGAGACAGAGAACCACTTCTTTCAGAGCATTGAATGTGGATTGACAGAGGCATGATCGCTCACATATGAACTTTCATCTCACTATTATCATTGTTAACCAGGTTCTTGTAACGCCTTAAAAACACGCAAAACCTGTTTAAACAGAGGTGACAGTGGGCCAAAAGAAATGCACCATGGGAAACAATATCATGTTCTTTAAAGCTATCATTTCTAGCCTTAGGGCACAATTCAGACAAAATTAAATGAAATCAATTGGATATTAGCACTCTAACTGGTGTGCTAATGTTCCATTGATTTCAATAGGGCTTAAGTGCACTTAGCTTTCTCTGAACCCTGCTTTTAATAGTTTGTTCAGAAGCTGTTTGAAGCCCTTGAAATAAATCCCTGAAGACTTGGGAAGTGTGTCAGTGGAAGGAAGGAAGACCTACATTTTTGTAGGGTAATTATGAAGGGGGGGGAATCTTCCTGGTTTAATTCTCATGAGCAATGCTTCAGGTTTTAAAACCTTCCAAAAGTTCAAACAACAGGAGAGGACAGCACAGAACAGGGAGCAATATTAAGACCAGTCTTCTTAAATGAAAAGGATGATAATGATCAGGCTATATTAGGAGCGCCCAAACCAGGGGTCAGCAAACTTTTTCAGCAGGGGGCCGGTCTACTGTCCCTCAAACCTTGTGGGGGGCCGGACTAT